CATCAGCTGGACCGTGGTCAGACCGCCTGGACTCAAGAACCTTCCAGCCTCAGGTTAAAGCAGACACACTGTTGTCATTTAACAGCTCTATTCAATGCCTCTGGACCTACTGTATTTAAATAGAATTATTGTTTTTGCCACATTCATCTATTAATTTTTATTTTAATGTCTGTACATATCATAAGTGGTTATTGTTATTCAAAAATAGAGATTAGTCTTTCAGGAATTCAGATGATTTGTTTGTTTCCTATAACTTTTTAGACTAAAACAGTTGTGGTGATGTCATCATGATGTCACCGTGTGATTCTCATCTCTCTGACATTTACAGCTCAAGAAATTCTGACACACGAGGGATATTTTGTGCCTGCAGACAGCGGTCATTCTTCAGGTGGGTCAGTTGCCAGAGGTGACGTGGCCCGCTTCATGCTGTCTCTGGTCAGCAGCAATGCGTGGGTAAAGAAGGGAGTCGCCATCGCCACCAAATAGAATCAAAAATATTGTCAGTAATTAAGGACTACTTGATTTTAGACTGACATTTTTTCAGGTTCTGTGAGACCAGTGACACTTTTATTTACGAGTCATCAGTCATTGATTGAACATTAATCAGTCATTAATGTTCGTAATAATAAATTTAAAGGTTTCTTTATCATGTTTGCTCTGGTGTCAGCTTTTTTGTCATCTGTTTTATAAGCTGTCACTTCTCTGAAGTCACACCAGTTAGACCAGGTCTCCTTTTGAGGAATAGCAGAGTCAGTAGTTACACTAACCAAACATGTTCTCACGTTTCTACTGTAGTGTTTCCTTATGTAATGGTTTTTGTATTTTACTACTGTAATTTTACTTATTCCAACAGTTTTGTTTTCCAATGCTGATTAATTCACGGCTAAAGCTTCTGAACTTCCCTGAACTGTTGCTACTATTCTCAACAAACACAGAAAATAAAATATCAAAGTTACAACAAAACAACTTTAAAAATAATTTGACATGTACAACCTCTGCCCTTCATTGAGGACACGCCCCCCACTTTGGCAAATACTCCCTTAGGTGTTATTATGCACTATACAAACATACTTGTACACCTTAGAGCTGCAGTATATACTGTAGTGCACAACCAAAAATAAACTGCACACATACACAGATGAAACTGACTTTATAAACATGAAATCACAAAACAAACATTTCACATTTAATTTGTCAAACTGTACATGGAGATGTATTTATTTAAATGCAGGCCTTTTACAGTATTTTTTGTGTTTTCATTTAATAAAATCAGTTTGAATATTAACATTTAAACATTTTATATTATGTTCAAACAATTTTCATGACAGCATAACACTTCATCAAAGATAACTTCTCACCTACAGAGGCCAGTGTTGCAATAAAAAAAATGTAAAAACTGAAAACTGGCGAGAAAAATATTGTAACTGGTAGTGTTTGAAAAAAAAATCAAAAAACAATATATGCACGATCTGGACTTGCTAGTGGAAGTGGAATAATAGTTTATAATTGTAAATTACCTTCATCATCCATTGATTCCCACCCTGAACGACCATGTCTTAAAAATGTGTTTTGGGAGAAAAATATCATTTAAATATAAGATAAAAAGAAAACAAAAATCAACGTGTGTGTGATGCTAGAAAGTAATTGTTCTGCAACCGTAGAGATAATCCTAGGAATCACTAGAACTGTTTCTCAGGTCTTGTGATGATGTAATTAGTAAAAAGTCTGAATAGACAGTGTACGGTTCTCTTATACCACATTTCCTCACAGTAAATGGCAAACGTTTGGCTCTGTTTTGTGAGATTTATTTACAAAAAATTGCACATTTGCAGTGCGACTGTGTTATCAATTGACAGCTTAAATATTGATTAGCAACAGTTAGCATCGAGATACTGCGTCTTTGTTTTGCACTTCATCCAGGTGAATCAGAGCTCAGGTTTCATTCTTAACCTATTGTTGGACTCAGCCCATTGTTCATATAAATATGCCCCAGTGCTTCTCACCAGCATCTGAGCTGAGGCCTCTACTGGTTGGCCTGCGCCACTGCGTACATTTCATTTATTTTGTCCTCGTACATCTTCACGACAATCGGTCGCCTCAGTTTCATGGTGGGTCCTGCAAAGATAAAGAAGAAGGAGAAGATAAGGAGATAAATTATCACTGAGCAAAACAAAAAATGGTTCACTTTTTTTTTTTTGCATCTGGTTGAGAGATAGAGATGAGATTTTACAACTTGTCCGGAATGTTGTCTGGCCCACAGCACAGTCACAAGACTGGTGATCTGATTACAGTGTGATTACCAGCTCTCTGCTGCACTCTTAAACATTTCACCCCGTTCACCTTTGTAACAGTTTCGGTACTGACGTCATGTCAAAATGTGCGTTTCATCTGAGACACATCACATTTACATGTGATGTTTAATGTTTATTAATGTTAATGTTTGATTGACTCAGTGAATATCTTAATCCTGTCAGTGAGCTCACAGATGTGTGACTGACAGAGATTCTGAGACACCTTTAATGATTTTATATTTTCAAAATTTGATTCTCATGTGTACTCCACGCTTTAAATCTGGAATACTTGCAGTCTTAATAGCTCATTTATAATGTAATTGATTTGTTAGGACAACTACTGAAGGCAGATGAACAGTTTATCAACTATTATCACTGATCTGCTGTTTGGAAAAGAAAAGACAGGAGCCAGCATTATATGACGGGTGTGGTTGCCTGAAACATCCTAAACATGCTACGGCTCCAGAGAGTACTGTATATCAGATGTTTTACATCTGAGGAATGTGTGGCAGGTGAATAATCATAGCTACTATAGATACTGTATACTATCTGAGACGTTAAGAAGAGGTGTTTGACCTGATGGAACTATAGTTTAATTTTCAACAAATCAATAATAATAATAATCAGTGCAACTACTGCAGTACAACAGCTAAACATGGGGGAAAAATCTGGTTAAAACCATTAAATGTAGTAAATGAAACACAAGACTTACATGTATATGTGTAGACACACACACACACACACATATATATATATATATATATATATATATACACACACACTCACATAGTGTCAAAAAGTCAAAAATAAACTTAATCCCTAGTCTTCATTGTTTTACACTGTGGTGAGAAGCTGCAGAAAAACCCTAAGGTACCAGGATGTCGTGCAAACTTTACACAAAAGGATCATTATTATCTAAGCTTTTTTTGGAAAAGGGAAGCAAAATCTTTAACTGTTACACCACTGTGCATTTGTGATTTTAACAGTTGTAGCAGCAGAGATATCTGCCATGAAGAGTGAGTGAATGTGCCACAGTCAAAATGTGCTTTCAGTTACGACATGTAAAAGCAGCACACAAAGCTTAACTAAACCACAGTCACTCACCTAGTTCTCCTCCAGGGACGGAGAAGTCCTTGTCCAAGATCACCCACTTCTGGACCTTCTGTGCGTTGGACGTAGCCATGGCGTTGACTCGCTCCAATCCCTCCTGAATGGCTTTGTAGATAGCCGGCTCCCGGTTGGCTATGATCTCCGACACTTTAGTTGCCGTGACACCGTGCTGCTGACAGTAGTCCAGGGCCTCGGGGCTCAGGTCGTCTGTGGGCTCGCCGTTGTCGTCCATGACACACTGAGGGGGAAGGGAAAAAAGTCAGAACTTTGTTTTGTTCCTGTTGTCTAGACGTTTTTGTTGCAGCAGTGGCGGTCTGGTTACTTTGAGCGTGAGCAGCATGGAGAGGAACTTGAGCTTGTCTCCGATCAGCATGACGTTGCTCAGAATCGGCACCTCAGCCTTCAGCTTATCTTCAATGGGCACAGGAGGGATGTTCTCTCCACCAGCAGTGATGATCAGCTCTGAGACAGAACAGAATGCAGGGTTTATTTATTTTAATATTATTTTTATTAATAATTATTATTTAAATATATTTTTAATTTCATATTTTTTCATACCAAATACAGTGTTGTTTAATTCATCTCGTTCAAGATTAGGTTAATTTGTATAAATCTTTTTTTAAATATTCTATTTTAACTGATTAGTGCATTATCTTTTTAATGGGTTTTTAAAAATGGCCAAACATGTCATTGTTGGCTGTTGGTTGCAACGAACTTTCATAAATTATTTTCTTAGACCTATTCCTAATGAAGGAAAGAAAATGGCATCAATCACTTCCTTCTTCCAAAACTCAGAAGAGACTCTAAAGGTTTTCACTGAACCTTTGATCCTTCCTGTGATGAACAGGAATTTGTTGCGATCGTGTTTTCCGAGGTCTCCAGAGTGTAGCCAGCCGTCCTGGTCCAGAGCTTCTGCTGTTTTGTCAACCATGTTCAGGTAACCCATGAAGATGTGTCGACCCCAGAAACAGATTTCTCCGATCCCTTCATTGTCTGGGTTTTCCAGCTTTGTCTTACAGCCTGGCATCACTTTCCCACAGCTAAGAAGACCAATGATAGAGTTAGCAGTGAACAACATTAGACCCCGGGGTCCATGTTTCACTTTTAATCTTTGAGTATGAGAAGGATTTAATTTTCCAAGTCCCTTAATTTTCTAGAAGAAAACTCCAGACAGATCTTTTTACTGATTGTCATAAACTTGAAATTGGACTGAAATCTGATGAATATTCTCCTGCTGACCTGGTGATGCTGTAGTCGTGATTGACAGACACAGTGTGTGGACCGGAGCTCTCGCTCATCCCGTACAGCTCCATCAGTGGGATGTTCAGGCTCATGAAGTATTCCAGGGTGTCTTTGGAGATGGGCGCGGCGCCTGTGAAGCAGATCTTGCAGCGGTCTAATCCCAGAGCAGCACGCACCTTCTTGAAGACCAGATTATTTGCCAGCATGTAGCCCCATGGCACAACATTCTCACTGAAACCCAGAGGAGAGAATACACTTCACACTGGGAGAATGAATGAAATGAAAGCAGAATGAACTCATTTAATCCAAATATAGTTACATCGAGGACAACTGGACGAAGAAGGTTTTTTATTTTTTAAGACGTTTCACCTCTCATCCAAGAGGCTTCTTCAGTTCTGACTGACTACGTGGAAATTCTGGTATTTAGCCTCAAAGGGGGCTGCATATCTGTAACAACCTCTGAATTACAGAGCCAAACAAGAGGAGGACGAGGCTAAGGAACAGTCTCACATCAGAGGAGCTTTAAAGACCTGCAGCTACCCTAAATTGGGTCTTCTCCAAAGCTACCAAAACCAACCAGAAGAACAGAGAGGCGGACAGTAACAAACAGGAACAACATTGTCATTCCTTATGTGGCCGGGACCTCCAAAAAACCAGCACCAAATTCCTGTCCATTTTAAACCCACCAACACTCTCAGACAAAGACTGCTTTATCCAAAGGACAAATTATTCCCCAATTTCGTTCTAACCAAACATAATGACAATAAAGACTATTCTATACCTCACCACAAACAGAGCAACGTTGTATATGCAGTACAGTGCAGTGAGGACTTTACATTGGGGAAACTGAACAACCACTGTACAAGCTTATGCAACAACACAGGAGAACCAGCTCCTCAGGGAAGGACTCAGCTGTTCATTTACATCTTCAGGACAAAGGATACACTTTTATGGATGAGGATGTACATATCCTCACCAGAGAAGACAGATGGTTTGAGAGAGGGATGAAGGAAGCAATCTACGTAAATCTTGGCTGAAATATCTTTCCTGGGTACAGGCATTCCAGCTGTTTGCAGCTTCAGATGTTACAATGGTATCTTGGTAGGCTGTCAGAGCAGTTCAACACGTTACTGCAGATTAGATCACTGATGGTGATTAACACATCAGTACGTGAGGAATGAGCGCCTTGTTTGATAATGACAGTGTATGAGCATGTGTTGGACCACAATTGGCCATAGAAATGCAGAACATTTGTCTCCACAGAAAATCAAATTAATTTGATAAAAAAAATGTCATACAGTTCAACAAGGACAAAGACGTCATTATTGAACTAGTCAAAGCTAGTCTCGTTTAGGGTTAGGGAGATGGCAGGGGCCTTTTTTCTTTATTATTTCTATTATGTTTGTCATGTGTTCGTGTTTGTGTGTTCCATGTCATATATGTATATATTTTTCTCAGTTATTAAAATACACAATACACCATTTAAAAATAACATCCATTTTAAAAAGTTCTTCCACTGTTACACACTGGAGCTACTACTGACATCATGTGCTTTCAGTTCAAAGCTGCAGGGGGATTGAAGACAAATCTGGCTTTGCGCTTTGTCAAAAATCTACCCATTCCTCATGTCCTACACCAGAAAATGTTTAACAATGGTAGGTCAGTCAGGCAGCAGACTTAGTTTCACCTTAACTTCCTCTGCGTCTCCCTGAGTATCACCCTTTCTTACATGTGGTAAAATTATGTAAAACACCCTCCCCCATCCCCCCAACCACTACCACCACCAGTGTCAAAGAACTGCTCTCACCCATTCATGGCACTGTAGTTGTACTGCAGTCCAATAGACTTGGCCCAATTTGCCACTCTCCTTCTCATTGGGGATGCCTTCATGCCCATGGCTTTCATCTTCTCCTGCATCTTCTCCCACACTCTGGGCACTCCCAGGAAATAAGTTGGTCGAGCCTCCCTCAGTGTGGTCCCTAATGAGCCCTGAACAGACCATACAATAAGAATACAATTTACCATGTTTTACCAACATTATATGCAAGAACAGGTTAAAATGGCTACTAAAGGTTTACTACCTTTACTGTGAATGTTTATTTTTTGTAATGATCCCCATTATTGCTAAGTGGCTATAGGGCCATTTTGGAATTCTAAAGATCACTCTTATCATATTAATAAAGGAGTTACACTTTGTTCTTCTTTTGTTTGTACAAAACAGTCCTCACCTTGAGTGCATCTGGATCGGCAAAATAGACAGTTCCTCCAAATGTCATGCTGAGCCAAATATCCACCATCTGTGCAGCAACATGGCTGAGCGGTAAATAACTGACCAGCACCTCGTCACCGTAGGAATAGTCCACCAGTGTAGAGGCTGTACGGGCTGTCCATGTCAGCTGTACATGGGGTGGAGAGAAGAAAAGACATTTTATTTCAAGTCTCCACCTGCATCACCTTCTACCCACAGCTGACACACATTCCAGACATAATTGCTAAAAATAATGAACTGAGGAAATTGACCAATGGAATATTTGTCGCTGACTCCACCTCCTGCCATAGTATATGTAGTGCAGGAGGTTTTCAATTTTAATCATTTACATTACATTACATAAAATTAAATAACCAGGCAAAGGTAACATTTTTCTTATTTACACTGAAATAAATATACATTTTATAATATTTATATATTATATTAAAATATGAGGTGATGTATTAAAAATGACCATGTCTACATATTACTGTCCTTTTTTGTTTTACAGTCACTTTCAATTATGTTCATTTATTTCAAGCTTAAAAATAGCGACTTCTTGTTAATGTGGTTTTATTTGTGTTTTGTTTTCGTTTATCATTTAATCGTAAAGTAAATATAGGAATAATAAAATGATGTGTTAGACAAGGCTTAAATACGTTCAGTTAACTCACGTTGTCATGGCTCAGCATGACTCCCTTGGGGTTACCAGTGGTTCCAGACGTGTAGATGAGAGTGCAGCACTCATTGGCTCGAAGGCTGTCGATCCTAGCGTTCAGCTGCTCATCAGGAACATCTGACCCCAACTTCATGAACTCTTCCCACTACAGACATACAGAATTAATAAGACTAAGAAAGACTAAACTCAGCCTAGTTTTCAAAACGCGTAGCTAACTACACTTCTAACATTAACAGTAAGAAAGATTAGTCATTACATGCACACAATGTGTTCTCAGTCGAGACCACATGTCTATTTATGCTTTATTACTACAGGAGATGAGAAGACATACTGTGTATATGAATGGTGCCTTCTGCTGCGGCTCGCCCCTGTACTGGACAATGGCTTTCAGATGAGGTAGTTGATCTTTGACCTATGGAGACGAACAAGTAAAACAACATTCAAGCCTTTTTGTTATTCAACACATGGTACATGTTCACATGCTGAAATTCAAATCCTGACCTGCAGGATTTTATCAAGCTGTTTCTGGTTCTCCACCACCAGGATGTTAGCCTCGCAGTTAGCAGCTACGTACATACAGGCTTCGGGTGAGTTTGTCGTATAAATGCCAGCAGCCAGTCCTCTGTAAAGCAAACCATGCACAGCAGATTAACAGGTCATACTATTCAACATGACATGAGTGGTTTTTTTTTTGTTTTTTTTTTAAATAACGTAAATTTTGACTCTAGTTAAATTTCTGCTGTATCTGTGGGGAGCTCCAAAACAATTGTTATCGTTCTGTTTTTAAATAATTTCAAAATCATTAAGTAATTCTTAATCCAGTGTTACACAAGACACAGGTTTCTTTAAATCGATCAATACATCAGGTGCAGTTTATTAGTCGTTGACTTCCTGGAGACAAAGTTGTTCATTTATTGTGTTCTTACCCAGCAAAAATGCAGCCAATGTCTGAGATGAACCACTCAGCCGCATTGAATCCCAAAATACCCACACCGTGATAGCGCTCCAGGCCCAGCTACATGCAAACACAAAATCAAAAGATCATTTTTTTATACCATGAAACTACAGTGAAAGGCAATACCTCTTTTGACCTACATCTTGGTTTCAAAAGCCGCACCATCTCATATATGGTGCAAACATGACCATGAAACAGGAGACGTAACACAAGCTGTAAATTTCACACACCCCTGTCTAAGTTTCAGCGATCTTTCTTACAAAGATCATAGCGAGGCAGGACAAACCAAAAACAGAGACATTTTAACACAGTCATCATCGCTGGGTTATAAATACAGAAATGGACAGGAAAAACACTGACTTGGCTCTGTCCTCTTGTTTCTGCTTCTAAAATGTGACAGTGACACAGTGTAATTAAACCACAGTAAAATAAAAATATACCAATAGGTAAATGATTATCCAGAGAGAAACACTAAGCTCTCACTGCAGTGGAACAGCAGAAACTCCAGGGACAATGGCACAAACTGTGCAGAGACTTCAGTTGTAGATTCATTAAGCACTATTTTGTTGATTATGTATATTATTGTTTGCTCTTTAATCATCTGTTCCTGAAAAGCCCCTGTGTCTGTTTTAAAATAGTTAAAAAATATTTTTTGTGCATCTTCAAACAATAATTCTGTGGCAAATTGTTGTACATAAACAGGAAAAAAATTTACCTAAAATGGTTTCATTACAATGAGAAAGCTACAAAGAACTCGTGACTAGGTTAAAGAACACACTACAGTCAAAGTCTAAGTTGCAGAGTGAGTTCGGACAAACCTTGAGGAAACTCTTAGCAGCTGCTCGACACTGTTTGTAGTATTCCCTCCAGGTCAGCGTGACCCACTGACCCTCTTTCTTGGACTTAAGGGCTGGATAGTCTCCACACTGTTCCACCGCCTCCAGGAACAGCTGATGGACGGTCCTGGGAGTCTCCGAGGCGATGCCTGAGCCCTCCATCCTCAGCTTGACCGCCTTGTCTCTGTGGGTGCTCCATAGCTGATCAGCAGGAGTCAAAGTTGCTGTTCCACTGGCCCTTACCAATGGAACTGCCTTCGGTTCTATTGAAGGGCAACAAGGACATTTACCTGCCATTAATAACAAGTCAAGATCGCTGACAACCACACAACACTACCACACCAAAACATACACACACACACAGTAGGCTTCCACTGAGATGCAAGTCTCAGGTGTGTGGAAGGATAACAAGTGTGGGAGGGTGAGATCCGCCTTCTGTCCCAACAGAGGAACATGATTTGCAGAGAAGCAGGGAAGGCAATGCTGTCATCTGAGACAAAACAGGAAGCTTCATTTTAGTAGCCATGACCTACCAGTCAGGTTTGGTTAGATCCAGAGAAGTAGTGAATGGCTGACACAGCTCTTTATAAATGCCCTGGGGGGTTTAAAGCTTTTGTGAGTCAAGTGTTTGTTCAGCAGCTTTTAAACTGCAGCTTACCATTTTCACAAGTTTTATCATATCAATTGTTCCTTAATTCACCCGTATAACGTTTTAATTACATTACCTTTACATAACTACTTCCTTGATTAACGTTCATATTTTTTGACATATGACTCTAGACTCTAACTGTACATTATTATTTTAACCATAACTATTTCCTATTTCCATTTAAACTCAGAGACCAAATCTATAATCTGTAATGATGAATGTGTTTCAAACAGCAACACATAATGCCACCTAAGAGTGCAACACAATGAAAACTACAACAGGTCATTAGTTACAAAACTGGGCTAAAGGTTAACTGTAGATATTTATGGAAAATCATTTTATTTTATTTTTGTTGGCATATAATGTACCTCTAGAATTGCTCTAATGTAGTGTATATATATATATATATATATATATATATATATATACAGTAGATATAGTAAATACATCTTAACGGTCAGGAGCACTGACAATTGCTCTACGACAACAAAGCTACTAAGCTACTATTCATGTCATAAAAAAAGTACTTACTTTATGCATTGTTTATCTTGGCTCACTAGAGGAGAAGTCACATTTATGACTACATCAATCTGAACCGAATGTTTAACAAATCGTCTTGTTCGAATGACTTTGCGAATGTACGCAGAGCGCAATTAAGATATATAAAGAAACCATGTTGCCTTTTTTAAATTGGTTTCTAAGTGCAGCACTTGGATAGTTTTATTTGTAACTGCAAGAGGCTCGATTCTGATTGGACGAATTATTGGTAAATGTCATATCCACTAAAACTGTATTTCACCGGAAGTTCATGAACAGTGGGTCGGCTCGAAAGCAAAGCTCTCGCATTATGAGACAGGTGACTGAAACCGTTCTGAAGGGGGAACACAATGACCCATCAGACGCTTAAGTTTACACTTTCACAGTTGACCCCAAGGCTCCACCTAACAGGGTGGAGCTGAAGTAGCTTTATTGTTTCACACCTAGAGTATTTATTTGCTGTACTCTCCACCACCACTTAGAACTGAAGAAGCCTCTTGGATGAGAGGTAAAATGTCTTCTTTTAGAGAATTCACGTCCAGTTGCCTAACAGAACTTTTTAAACTCTCGCATTATGAATATGCAAGAAAAACTGAACCGGGAAAACAACTGTATGAGAGTGACGTCTAGAGGTCAACAGCAACCAGGTACGTGGTATTTTCTTGGAATGCACCATATTTTCACGTCAATACAAAAAAATAAATAAATAAATGAAAGATATATAAATATAAATAAAATAATTGATGATTCGCTGTGGCAACCCCTGAAAAAAGGGACAACGCCTAAAGAAAATTTATATATATATATAAATATATATGTATGTACTGTATATGTATATACACAGACAAAGACAGAGATATCTCATTTCCCCTCAGCAAGTAAAATGAGGAAATTGAAATAAGAAAACGACTATGACTTGACCTCTAATGTGGTGTGATCTGATAAACTGATGCAACTGACAAGGCTAAAAATAAAGATTGGTATATAATGTAGCAGAGATAAATTTATATTTAAATAGCTGTGCCTAAAAGTTCATCAGCAAGCAGTGCATCATGGGTCACCATTGCAGTAATCCCACTTGCAGCCTTTCTCAACACAAAGGAATTTATTTATTAAAATTTAAATAATTTAGTATTGAGTATTGATTACACTGTTAAATACTGATTAAAACAGTTTAAAGCTAAGATATACGGTGTTTGTGGAGGCACACTGCTGTTTAATCAACTATGAAACTATGTGAGTAGGTGGCAGTAGTTCAACACAATAACGCCAACTGCAGGTGAATCATTAACATGAGCTTGCTCAGTGTTTTTACTACAGCTGTTACTCTTTAGTGCTATAAACCAGTGTGACACAGCATGTTGCTGTGATTATAACATAATTTGATGTATTTTATGGCATAAATTAAAAAAATGAATCACCAACCATATGTTTGTGCTGCAACCATACACAGATGTAAACAAAAGCAAAAACAAATTGAAAATTTATATTAACTTGGTAAATTAATTTCAATAATTTATAGAAAAATACAAAAAAGAAATTTCATTAAATACTAAATTTGGAAGGATTACAATAATCCCTAATCTCGGGTTGATTCTCTTCACAATGGGCATCCTTTGTAAAGAAACTGGCCCAAAACACGTTGCAGTGGTGAGCACTGACAACCCAGAATTTTTTTTAAATCATAATTTGCATGAATTAAAGTCTGGAAAGTTTGTTTGTTTATTCAAAAGAGACAATGTCAGGATTATCAGGATAAACCAGCGGCAGATGTGAATTATTATAGATAAACTATTAACATTTCTAGGAAGACACATTTCCTAGAGTTTTAAAAACTGTAAATTAGTTTAGATTATACTATTTTTATTTCTTTTCATTCTTACCAAGTGAGAGTTCTTTAATATCTTCCACTAGTGAGTCCAGAGTCTGGTCCACTGTCTCTGCTGTGCTTGAACATTGCGTATCTCCATTAGTTAGGGCTGATGCTGCACTCAGCTCGGCTGTGGTGGCTTCTCCATTCAGGGTGACAGTTGAAAAGTCTGACAAAGCCTGCTTCCCCACAGAGGGAACACTGGAAAAAGAAAATAATTTAAGACACAAAATAATTTGATATTTACTAGTTTTCTTCAACACTTGCCATAACCTAAAAGACTTGTCTCTAACCCACATCTACATACCTATCATTATGACCATCCATGTGTGCAGTGATGCTTTGGAAAACCACGTCCCCTTAGATTAGCTAGAAACAGAGAGAACAGAGTATCAGCACGGTGAAGTAAAATCCCCCAAACTCATAAAGATTAAAGATTGTGAAACTGCACTGCTCTGCTCATTTATACGAAACCAAGGTCCTCTAACAGAACTGCAACAGGTCAGAGCCAATCAGTGATCAAATGATGGAACGAGCCCCTGTCAGAAAGCAGGAAGACATTCATATGTAGTACTTCCTGACTCACATGTGGTTTGGTGAATTAGATTTAGAAAAAAAAAAAAAAAAGGTGCATCATCTTATTCACAATTAAGAATTCACAATTAAGTCCTGTTTTAGATAATAAAGGTACAGTGTTGACATGGGGTATAAAAATCTACAGCTGAGGAAGCTTTTTTTTTAAAATTACCTCAACATATATCAAACTAGGTTTTAGTTATTCATGAAAAACTATATATATATTTAACATATATATATATATATATGTTAAATCATATTAAAATTTAATTTCTGCACATTGAGAATGACTACGTTTGGCCTAACTTTTAATCAAAGAACCTTTAAACAAAGATCCAGATGAATAATGCCATCTAGTGTCCAAAGGGTGTTACAAAAACAAAAATGAAACGGAACCACCCCCGAAAGTCATTTTTAAGAAGGTATTCATACGTTATTCGTTTATTTGTCCTTGGTTTGTACTTATTACTGAAACTGTTGCAATTGTCACTTCAGACTATCTCTGTAAACCAGTCAAGATTTCAGTCTGACCCCTGCATTTTAAGATAACTTTGCTCAAGATTTCTGCAAGCAAAGTTCACGCAACTTACAAATCTAAAGTGTGGCAATCATAATTGGCCACCACAGCAACATCCTTGCTCCAGAATTGGTAAATGTCAAATTAAGTGCACAGAAGAATAGATTCAGAGAAACTGTCAACTTGGAGAGGTTCATACGTCACCTGTGAAGGTTTTCTCAGCTTCAGAAAAAAAAACCCAAAACAGTAGAGACTCATCCCAGAACCAAAGAGAATGTCAAACAAAGACAGGCCTTGAAGCTGTGGTTTAAAAGACTGACTTGGTTTTTAATGACTTTAAACCATGAAAGTCAAGGAGCACATTCAGCGGGGGCTTCCCCTTTTCTGAGTCATGTGACCACATCAGTGCTATTTACCATAACATAGCATAGCCACAGGCTGCTCCATTAAGACTGCTCCTGTTACTATGGTAGAATGCTGTGTCACCAATCAGTTCATTCAGAATCTAAAGAAAAGCGCAGACAGAAACAGCATTTTCTGTTGCATTTTCTCAGCATGACCCTAATATCTGAATCACTGTCATCACATGACATTAAAGCAACACTGTGCTGTCCTGTTTACTGAGTAGTTACCAAATGCTGACCTACCTTGTCCAGAGACAGAGCAGAATGGCATCAACCAACCAGAGTTGTCAGGTACAACATCAACCTTCTTCAACCTTTGGCCGTCACAGGAGCTCCACTGCTCTGAAGGCAGTATCAGCCTATAGGGGACATGTATGAGGACACACACTCACGCCCTCGTCAAGAGACTTGTGCAACGCTTTGATCACCTGCTGCTGAGCCGTGTCCACGGAACACAGACCCACCGTCCAGCTTGAGCAAAGGTCATGACTGAGAAGGGACAGTTACCTGAGACACTCAGAGCCCGAAACCGGCTTTGTTTGTTTTAATTATAGCTGGTGACAACAGTTGGCAACGTTGACAATTCAAGACACTTTAAATATTTACTAGAGTATAAACCTAGGAATGCATGCATAACATGGGTTGGTGTGGTGCATAGACTTTGTCTTGACCCAAATTGACCTGCGCAGGTTTCAGTTATTACTGTCTCATGATGGCCATCTGAGAAAATAATGATAAAACAAGATAGGTTGTCTCCTGTTTAAGGGAAAGATAAGACTTTGACCCAATGCAGCATTTGAACAAATCTTGTGCAACTTTTTTTTCACCACTTTAAGAGACAAGATTCTCCTTCTGACCCATAGTGGTGTGCAAGAAGGAGAGCATTGTGTTGTAAGTAAATATAGGCAAAAGTTCAGCCTTAGCTGACACAGAGTAACCTTACTGCGAGACACCAAGGTCAGTGAATCACACCACCAAGTCACACCACCGCCACACCCACCCTGGGCAGCAGCCATCTGTGGGGTTTGTGAATAATGAGAACAGGAATTATCATGTGCCATAAATTATTGTAATGCGTTAAGGACTGTCATATCATATATTATGAAGAGACAGGGTTTTTTTTAACTGTGGGGTCATAATATATTTATATTCATTCAATCATTCACCTTCTACTGATTAAACATTTTCAGGGGGAGCTAGAGTCCAGTTTGCCGTCCTTCTCAAAGCCACGTTCACTTGCACTCACATTTATGCATATGGTCAATTTAGAGTCAACAGTTAACGCTAATCCCCACCATGCAAGTTGGACTGTGGGAGGAAGCAAGGTTACCTAGGGAAAAAAATCATTCTAAACAGAAGGACCAATGAAACTGTAGATCTTCTTGTGTAAGGCACAATCACTAACCAGTCTCAACCGTGCGGCCCTTGTACGTTAAAAGTAAATTAAAATCTACTTACCAAATTTGGAGTACCTGAGGAGGCAAGACAGTTCTGCCTAGAATCTATGATAATCCCACTGTATCTAGGACTAATGATTGTCTTTGGTTTAATGTTGCTGTTTTTCTTTCTCATTGAAGTCTTTGATTAGGAGTGCTTTGATGACAATGCCTTTGATGCATATTTACTCTCTAAAAACTTCCCATACCTTTTGTTGTGTTTCTTCATAGTAATTTGAAATTACTAATTTCAGATTTTTGCTATATTTTTACATCGAATATCTAGAACACAAGGTGACATTTTGTCTGGTTAATAAAGTGGACATATTTGGTGGGAAATGTACTCAAAACATGCAAGTGTGTTCAGTGTTTTATCCTGTATCCTTATTGACGATATCTGACATTTTCTGTTTTGTCAGTTCTCAACGAGGTATTGTGACATCTGGCTCAAGTGTTTTGACATTTGGCTCCATTTTATCGGAGGGTCTCAATGTGTTGTTTATATAGTCAAAATGGGAATAGTTCAAAGTCAGCAAATACTCTGTTTGTGCTCTGTTTGCAGTGGTCCTGGTCGTCTTTCTCTCTTTTATGATAAAACCATGTAAAGACTGCAACAATCAAACTTCAAGTATCAAAAAATGTTACCTTTTATTTTTTTATTAATAATTATTTTTCATTTGAACATATTTAGATGTCACACTGTGTCTGTCAAATCAGTTACGTATCATGTCACACTCTGTGGATTAAGGACATCAATTAAATCTAACAGACAATAATAAACACCACACAATTATCCCGGGGGCCACGTCATCTGTCTTCCTCCTAGAACGTGGATGTGAAGGTGGTACACTGACTGAGCACCGTGTTTTCCATCATTGATCACTGAAAAACATCAAGAAGTCAAAAACATGAACGACTTGACAAAGGCCACTGGTTTATACAGCAACAGTAACCAACATGGTAACTCACCCACTCTGTATCCTTCTGTAAGAGACTCTTGTTTTGCCACATTTTTGGCAACAACCAACAGATGTCCCAAGAGCTGGAAGTTTAGGATTTAGGATTAGTTTAAGTGAGAATTCCAGCAAAAAATGTTTGTGCAATCAAGAGTTGGTAAAATGTAGAAGTATGTGAATGATGAGTGTCTGTATTTACTGACTTACCTCAGCGTCGTCAGCTTTCACAGCACTGATTCTTGGAATAGGAATCCTCGTAATGACCAGGAAATGAACAGGGGCCTGTGGGTTCACATCCCTAAAGGCCAAACACTAACAAACAAAACGTGAAGTTAGAGTAGAGGCTTCTGTAAGGACCGATTCACAAACTACATCTCATCTTTTTTTAAGTTACTTTGCTTTGTTGTGGGGTCTATTCCAGATGGCTGTGCTACAGACATTTAAACATTCTGGAAAGTTTTCCGCTTGTTAGACTAGTCCTTTTCTCTACATTAGTGTTATAGCTGATGCCACTGTGTTTCTCCCGCAGCGCCAAACCATGTTATTTATGCTTACAGATTGTTTTAACCACTGGGGTGAGAGAGTTTACCTTTAGTGTGTCAGCAGCACTTGTTTCCACAACAACAGTGTTGAGCACATGTTCCTCCTGGGTTTTCAGTCTTTGACCTTTGTGACAGTTTTCAGTTCCCAAGACATTTTTTAGCCTCAACTGAGGTGTTTATGATGCTTAAATTATTGTCTTTTGATTTGTAAATATTCAAATGTGTTATATGTTAGGGCATGATTTAAATATGATAAGGAGATAATAATAATAATAGTAATAATTAATCATTTGAACTTTATTGATCTCAAATTTGGGAAATTCTTGTGTAAACAGCAGATATGCATGCCAAGCATGTGGTTCCTCTGGGAATCAAACCTAGACTCTCTGCTTATAAGCCAGGCATGCTAACTGCTACACTATGGAACCAACCAATACACATCTGTGTACAAAACATCAATAAACTACAGTTTCTCTATGAACAGTTTTTGCATGGACACTTTGTCTACAAGTAATTCTGAACAGAGTTCTACACAGAATAATTTCCTTGGCCCTATTTTTTCCCCATTTATCCAGGTTTAGATAAGGTGTTTGAGGGGGACAGAAAAGTTTGGTGTCCATGTACACCTCAGATACCTAGTTTTAAAAAATTCCTCCCTTAACCCAGTGGACCACAACCCTGTTATTATGATACCAGCTCTTTGGCTACTATGGTGTTCTTTAGAAATCACTACACCATCTGTTGTAAATACAACACTACTGTCAAATTATGCCTTTCTTTTTTACTTCAGTTAAGAACTAAATGCCCTATTTTTTTTACACAAACTACACAGACAAACATTAAAGTTCTGATTATTGTGGTGTTTACCTTCTCGTCTTCATAAATAATATCTGCTGGGATGCTTTTGTCAATCACTTTGGAGAAGATGGTGGGAGCAGGGGAACCGTACTTCTTGCTGGCCTCCTCTGCTAGCTTCACCTCATCGTGTTTGGTGCATAGTTGTCTCTATGGGACACAGAGACACGTTACACAGTGACTATGTTTAAATGGACAACTGTTAGACTACTTAAACTGGAGAATAAAAACTAGATTGTGTTAAATTTGTTCTATACAATATCAATGTGATTATAATACAGGAGCCAAAGTCATCATATCATTGATGTCATATTTTTACATATATTTTTGTAGAGTAACTTTTAATTATATCACAATGCTTAACTAATACTGGATTATTGATGTGATACTCGACTATTGAATGCACGTATAGCATTTTGGTCCAGGTATGTTTTTAAATATGATTTGTGCTACGTTACAGATGCCTTAGGTTCCCGTTCTCGGTACAAATTAGATATGACTCGTGTGTTCACATTGTCGTCATAGAGATAAAACAAGTGACCTACACATGAGCCAGAAAGAGATGATCAAAACTTAACTGTACATATAGCCATGGGGTTTCATTTTATGGTATATTTGTGGTTTTTAATGTAACGTCACCCATCGAAACACACTGTCTAAGAAAAATAATACAAGCTTCACATCTAACAATTTACATTTTTCCCCCTGCTAACTGCAATAAACCAAACCTCTGCAGCCTTCCCCAGGCCATGAGCAGAGGTCTCGTCCACGCGTTCAGCTGCAGCTACTGAAAAGTACACGTTTAGGAGAATAAACACAAGTCCGGTTACTCTGGGAGCAGCTACCTCGACTCCACACAGCCGCGGCAAACGGGGTAGATGAGCGGCTGTCACGAACCGTGGCCGGAAAATCTGACGTAAATACATTTCTACACTCAGATATTACAGTTTCTTGAATAAACTACGCACACTTTTCTGCAGTTATTAATCCCTAAACAGCCACGTAATCTAAAACTGCAGCCAGCAAATCGAAACTCACAATGAAGCCAGGTTACACAGGAACTTACGCCAACGTTGCTTTCACGTACCTACTGTTGGTATTACACATACAACTTCTTACTTTATTGTTATTAAAAACCACATGCATATAATTTAGGCATGATATGTCAAATCACCTTTACCAGATGTGAAAGTGTTTGGTGTCAACCCTTAACGCATCCAACAGATAATAATTGATTATATTACCATGATGGCCATATTTCCGACACCAGGCGATGTCGGAAAGGCGTCATCGCATATGCGAGTGACGTTCAAAATCTTAGATGGCTACAATGTTTCAGAGTAGGTGAGCATTTAAATGTGAAACGTATGGCCATATAATATATCCCACAATGCTGTTAGCGTCCCACACATTCTCAGATATCGTAAAAAAAAATACAACGAATCCTACGTAATCGCGTGGTTAAATTGAGATTTAAAATGTTATCTTTAACTCAGAATGTACATTTATACGTCACATTGGCACAAAATGCAATTCCAATTTCAAACACGGGGAGGCAGTAATAAACACTAGTGTCTCATGTCAGTCAGACATTTTCAAAAGAACAAGGCTTTGCAACATGGCGTTACGCACACGGCTGTCCTTGCTGTTTTCCAAAAATCTCCCACCATTCAGACATGGGAGTTTCGTCCACACTGAGGCGGTGGTTAAGGAGCCAAACTACCCCCCTATTCTTCCCTCTCTTACGGCTAAAAGCAAATCTGCGCGGCAGCGGCAAGTGGTCGAGCATGTCAATAAAATCTGTGCTGCACCGTTGGCGGAGAAGCTCTCCCTCGTCACTCGCATCCAGTGGAAGAAATACGTGGTTTACCCTCAGACCTTCGCTCGGAATGCAGATAAATGGTACCAACACTTAACAAAAACAACTTATATTCCTGGTCTACCCGAAAAATTCCGGAGTCCAGAGAGTCCGGAGAAGACCACTGAGAAGGAGGGTTCGGAGTCGGCCGCAGCTCCTGCCGCAGGTCTGGATATTGACGATGAAGCATTTGCGGTCATCCGCGACCTGGTCACCCAAATAATTTTACAGGAGCACTGGCACACGAAGAAACACACACCCTTCTTGTACCGACGACAGGAGCTGTTGGTGGGACCTTTTCTGAGGAACCTGGTGACTGAACTCACTTTTACTCTTGCCAAATTCAACCCGCTGTTTCGCCTATGCAGTCTAGGTATGGATGTTTAGTGGTTGATTTTAACTAAGCAGTTTGTTTTACATACTTTACTGTTTTTTGCACTTACCTTTTACAGTACTACAAGAAATATAATGGGTTTTTTGCCATACACACATCACTAACCAATTCATTTTCATTTGCAGTAAAATAATTGGCTCCAGTCTTAGTAATAATCATGTATATATTCGTTAATTATTTTAATTATTTAGTTAATTAGTTGATTTTAATTAATTTAGTGATATTATACACAACTGCTGGTATTGCAATGGCATGTATTACACTGCTTATTTCTTTCATCAGATATTAACCCACAAGTGAACTTCTATTGGAGAAGAGGTCAGAGAATTATCCCCAGGGGCCACCGAAAAGGTCGCCAGGAGCCAACCCGCTTCCAGATTGATGATCATCCAAACTGTCAGATTAGGATCACAGAGCAGCTCCCGCAGGTAGATATTTAATCCTGAATAATCACACTTAGCTTTACCAAATACAAATTGCTTCAAATGTCCTGAAACATTAGCAACATTCAAAGACCTTTTCCTGGATTTACATTATTTTCTACACTTTCTACCTCTTTGTATTTTTTAAATCTTAATACCTCACATGTAAGAACAGTGGTGAAGATACCACTGACATTATAAAATCACTCTCTTGTTTTTCTTTCTAATTTCTCTTAGTTTGCCCAAATGGAGGCATTTTATGACGCTGAGGTTCCAGAGATCACCGTTTCCCCCGACAAGATGCCATTGTTTAAACGACAATATGATAACCACATCTTCACAGGTAACCTGGTAACAAGAGGCCATTGTCGTCATAGGGTCTTGGTTCCACTGCCACACTGTTCTTAATGAGACATATCCCATGATGCACTTTAGGAAACGTTACAAGTTAAGAAGTGTATTAAAATGTAACAGTTCGATGCCAACATTGCATTACCTCATGCTGACACTAGAGTGCACCAGTGTGCACATTTTAATGACTAGAGAATATAATGAAACTAACAAAGTTGGTGTCAGTGATAAGTGGTGGTTTTGAATGCAAACAGAAGTGGGTTTTTTTACAGGTCAAAATTACAATAATCACATTTAAATGTTTCAGTTCTGAAGTGTCTTTTAAGTTTTACTTGAAAAACCCATCAATCTTATGTTAATACCAGGTGCTAAACTGCCGGACCCAGCACGTTATGGTCACACTCAGTTCCATTTGGTCCCTGATCAGTACCACAGAGACCAGATGGCTAAACGGGGGCATTCTGACCATGTGGAGGTTTTCCTCAGAGCCAATGCCATGGCCAGTCTCTTTGCTTGGACAGGAGCTCAGGCCATGTACCAGGGTAAGTTAGAAACCTGAATACTACTACCACCACTACTACTTCTTCTTTTTCTTTCGGCTTTGTCCCTTTTTCAGGGGTTGCCACAGCAAATCATTGATTTCCATCTGTCCCTGTTCTCTGTATCTTCTACTCTGACTCCAACTACCTGCATGTCCTCCCTCACTGCATCCATATATCTCCTCTTTGGCCTTCCTCTCTTTCTCCTACCTGGTAGCTCCATCTCTAACATTCTTCTACCAATGTATCCACTGTCCCTCCTCTGCACATGTCCAAACCATCTCAATCTGGCTTCTCTAGCTTTTTCTCCAAACCATCCTGTCTGTGTTGTCCCTCTAATGACAGCATTCCTGATCCTGTCCATTCTTGTCACTCCTAAAGACAATCTTAGCATCTTTAACTCTGCCATCTCCAGCTCCGCCTCCTGTCTTCTGCCTATTGCTACTGTCTCTAAAACATACATCATTTTATTTATATTAATATA